TGTAGGGGAATTTTTTTGAAGGCCCCTAATATTAAGATTTTATAATATAAATGACATAATATTTTCATAGTAATTAAAGTCCCTCGACATTTTCACAAAGAAAATTCGACTCAGAGAAATTTCGCCCTGACTCAGAGAAATTTCAATTTTCATTGTGATCATACTAGAGAAATATCTCTGTGAAAATTGAAATTTCTCTGAGTTGGGCAAAATTTTTCTGTGAAAATGTTGAGGGACCTTAGCTAATAAAAAAAATATCTTGGATCTCTCCTACTACACAAAATTAGAGAGGGACGTTTCACTAATTTTTCCTATTTTGTAAAGGTTAAAAAATAATAATTTCATTCTATTTCACTGAATTTAATGGCATTCGATTTTAAAAACTTTTGTCGTCGTCGTCGTCGTCTTCGTCTTCTCCTCTCTTTGTGGTCTCGAAAGTGTCCAAGACGTGTCTCGGATGAAAAAAAAAGGGGACACGCCAAATTGAATGTTTGACGCGTGCCCATTGCGTGTCAGACTTGTGTCGGTGTCCGACATATGTCTGACACTAATACATGGCCTTTGTAGGCGTGTCGGTGCTTCCTAGGCTATATATATATACTAGTTGTGGTTGTATGTTGGGTGGGTGGTGTGATTGTTGGGGTGGTGGTGGTCGAGTGATGGTGGTGGTTCTCTGTTTCTTAGGCCATTAATTGTTTCTAGGTCCTGCGGAATTATCTTCTCTACCCACAGAAAATTATGCCTTTGGAATCTCTCTTTCTCTCTCTTGCTCACTCTTCTAACAGGAGTGTTGTAAATCTACAAATTCTCTCTCTCTCTCTCTCTCTCTCTCTCTCTCTCTCTCTTTCGCGTTTCTAACAGGAATGCTGCAATTATACAAATTCACATATTTTGGGTATACTAGTGTAACATGCTCGTGTGTAGTCTTTTATTTTTTTGTTTTTCCGTTTCATTTTAATCTCTCTCTCTCTCTCTCTCTCTCTCTCTCTCTCTCTCGCTCACTCTTCTAACAGGAGTGTTGTAAATCTACAAATTCTCTCTCTCTCTCTCTCTCTCTCTCGCGTTTCTAACAGGAATGCTGCAATTATACAAATTCACATATTTTGGGTATACTAGTGTAACATGCTCGTGTGTAGTCTTTTATTTTTTTGTTTTTCCGTTTCATTTTAAGGTTAGAGCTTCTTTTAATAGAAAAAAAATACAATCGAATGATTATTTTGTAAAGGTTAAAAAATAATAATTTTATTCCATTTCACTAAATTTATTGGCATTTTGGTTTTAGGGACTTTCGTCGTCTTGTTCTCCTCTCTTTGGGGTCTCGAAAGTGTCGAAGACGTGTCTGAGATGAAAAAAAAAGAAGGGGAGACGCCAAATTGAGTGTCGGACATGTGTCCACTGCTTGTCAAACGTGTGTTGGTGTCCGACACGTGTCAGACACTAATTTGTTGCCCTTGGAGACGTGCCGGTCTTTCTAGTTTATGTATATACTAGTTGTGATTGTAGATTAGGTGGGTAGTGTGGCTGTTGTTGTTGGGGCGGTGGTGGGCAAGTGAGGGAGGTGGTTCTCTATTTCTTGGGCCATGCATTGTTGCTAGGTCTTGCAGAATCATCTTCTCTACCCACAAAAAATTTCACCATTGGAATCTCTCTCTCTCTCTCTCTCTCTCTCTTCACTTGTGTCCTGCTCTTCTAACAGGATTGCTGCAATTCTACAAATTCTCTCTTTTCATTTGTGTCCCGCTCTTCTAAAAGGAGTGCTGCAAACAACTACAAATTCTCCCCCCCTCTCTCTCTCATCTCTCTCTCTCTCCACTTGTGTCCCACTCTTTCAAGAGGAGTGCTGCAATTATACAAATTCATATATTTTTGGTATACTAGTGTAACAAGCCCGTGCATAGTTTTTTATTTTATTTTCTTTTATTTTTTGATTTTAAGGTAGAGTTTGTTTTAATTGAAAAAAATACAATCAAATGATTATTTTGTAAAGTTTAAAAAATAATAATTTCATTCCATTTCACTAAATGTAATGATGTTCGGTTTTAGGGACTTTAGTCTTCTTCTTCTTCTTCTTCTCTCTCTCTCTCTCTCTCGTCTCGAAAGTGTCCAAGACGTGTCTAAGATGAAAAAAAAGGGACATGCTAAACTGATTGTCGGCCACGTGTTGATTGCCTGTTAGGCGCATGTCAATGTCCGACACATGTCGGACATTGATACGTGGCTTTTGGAGACGTGTCGGTACTTCCTAGGTTATATATATACTAGTTGTGGTTGTGGATTGGGACGGCGGTGTAGTGGTTGTTGTTGGGGAGGTGGTGGTCGAGTGAGGTGGTGGTTCTTTGTTCATAGGCCATGGATTGTTGCTAGGTCCTACGAAATGATCTCTACCCACAGAAAATTTCGCCATTGGAATCTCTCTCTACTTGTGTCCCGATCTTCTAACAAGAGTGTTGCAATTATACAAAGAATAATGCTATATGTACCAATTAGTGTACTAACTACTGTACCAATTGATGATGTGGCATAATTTATGAAGTTTTTGGTATTTGTAATGTGATTCATGAGTGGGGTCAATAATAATATCATAACTAGTGTTGGTATATTAGTTAGTACACTAATTGGTGCATGTAGCACTGCCGTTATACAAATTCACATATTTTGGATATACTAGCATAAAGTCCCGTGTACAATTTTTTGTTTTTGTTTTTTTTTAATTTTAATTTTTGATTTTAAGTTGGAGTTTGTTTTATTAAAAGAAAATACAATCGAATGATTATTTTGTATAGGTCAAAAAATAATTATTGTTGCTAGTTCCTGCGGAATGATCTTCTCTACCGACAAAAATTTATCCACTGGAATCTCTCTCTTGCTCTCTCTCTCTCTCTCTTCACTTGTGTCCTGCTCTTCAAACAGTAGCGCCGCAATTATACAAATTCAGATATTTTGGGTATACAGTTTTTTATTTTATTTTATTTTATTTTACTTTTTGATTTTAAGGTAGAGTTTGTTTTAATAGGAAAAAATACAATCGAATGAATATTTTGTTAAGGTTAAAAAATAATCATTTCATTTCATTTCACTAAATTTAATAGCATTTGGCCTTCATTCCAATTAATTAAATATTATTGGAGATTATTATCCCAAAATAAGATTTTTCTTCTTGGAATTGAATGGAGTAGAAGATTAAACAAATTGAAAGTTCATATTGTAGGGTTTGTCAATTATATCATCTAGAAAAAAAGATCGAATTAATCGGATATGTGTAACCCCATTGTTTAAAATTGAACTTCATGCTATTTTTTAATAATAAGCTTTTTTATCCAACAATTGGTGAAATACTTACCATTTAAATGTACATTTTCTTTTTGAATATATAATTCTATGAATTAATACAGTAATAAAAACATATTGGGAAATTCTATAATACACACCCCATTTTCAGATGTGTATCATATGCCCGATTATGATGTCTGTAGTCATTTTGAGATGTGTAGCATATATCCCAATTATGATGTTTGTGGTTTATTGTTTTGATCTATTGTGTTGTTAGTTATGACACATTGTAATTATTATTTTGGTTATGATAAAAAATCTTTAGTTGTACGGCAATGTGTTGCTTAGTTATGATGCATTGCCCTTTTTTTAAAAAAAAAAAAAAAATTTATAATGATGACTAAAAAATTTAATTATGATATTTGTGATAATCAACATCACAAACATCATAATTTGTATTTCGATTGTGTGTATTCTAAAATGACCCATAATATATCATCTCATATTTATTGGTAACAACAAAATTAATTTTTTATTAGTTGTAACAAACCAAATGCAAGAATCTGTGCTGTGAGAAAATGAAAATGCCAAAATGGTAAACCGAACAAAAAAGAGAGCATTGACAAAAAAGACAAAATAGAGCTCAAGCCAGAGAAACCAAAAAAAGGGCAAAACGGGAAAAAATAAAAAAACAAGCCACGAGAGTCAATTATTAGTGTGTGTATATATATATATATATTTGTTTTTTGAATTCGGGATTGTATGCAATCACTTTTGGTTCCAAATGCTTGAGAGTTTAATGCATCTTCCGCATCAAACAGGCCTTATACCTTCTTTGCGGATTTTTTTTTTTATTTTTTATTTCATTGTTTTTTTATTTTTTTGTTATTTAATTTTTTTGTTGTGTGGTTAAACTCTACGGAAACCGTTTATGGTCATTCAACGCATATAAAAAACAAAAAAATCATGTTGCCATTCCTTGGTCACAGGACTTATAAACTGGATGGCCATTTGACAGGTTACTTGCTAGTCAACTGGTGTTGACAAAAGCTCATGGTGCCTCCTGCCACCAGTGGCCTTTTAAGAGTTCGGCTTCAAATTATGGAGTGTTGACATTGGGCTTTCAACCAATCTCAAAAACTTTAACACTTTAATGGATCAAAGTTTGATGCCTCAAGCCTACTCAAACAATTGGGCTTAAAGGCTTCATGATTCTGGTTCATATTAATTGTTACTCTTATATGTAGATAATTACTAGAATGTTTGATTTTTTATGTCATCTTGGCTGCTGATAATTCACAATAGCTCAATAAAATAATTTTGTTAGTCTGAAATCAGGGGCCATTTGTCTTGCCCTTGAAAGACCGTGCTTGGGATAGTTCCATCAGTCTCTACTCCCGTCTTATGGAAACCCACTAAACTGACTTGCTCGTTATGATGTTGGATGTCTTAATCATGATAAGAGATCTGATCGAGCTGATCTCCATTAATGCTCAGCATTTTCCAGATTGTGTATGATTTGGATTGATACCATTGTATTGAAGTCATCCTATAGTTTGGAGATAGCACTAAATGTTATTATACCTTAATATTACCTCTCATCTGGCATGATAAAGTTGTATAGATGCATGACGTTTTCAATTAGAATGAATTGAGGCTCTCTATTTTCGTTGGGATATTGATTAGCCATTCGGATAATGTACTGACTTTATATCATCATCTTTTTACAGATGCAGATCCTATGAGAGAGCCAAAAAGAAGTTGACTGTCCTAGAGGCTCCTAATGTTCTTACTATTGCACTAAAGCGGTTTCAGGTAACCCTGTAAATCTAGGATTGATGCTTTGCCCTTCATGGTGTTTTAAATTTCTATTGCTTACGTGGCATGAATTTTACAGACTGGTAAATTTGGAAAGCTTAATAAGTCGATTCAGTTTCCTGAGATTCTGGACCTAGCCCCATATATGAGTGGGACGAGCGACAAATCACCTATATACAGACTTTATGGAGTGGTGGTTCACTTGGATGTCATGAATGCAGCATTTTCTGGTCATTATGTGAGCTACGTTAAGAATGTCCAGAACAAATGGTTCAAGATTGATGATAGCACGGTATGTTCTAATTCATCACTAATTAGAATGCCTAGCATGTTATGTTAAAATGATTTCATTTATTTTTCAGAAATTTACATATGCATTTTATTTGAGTATTTGGCTTTTGTTTCTTTCTTCCTTTTTTCTTGCACTGATGGTGGAAAACAGAGTTGAGTTCTGCCCAAATTTTCCTATCATATGGGTATAGTGAGCTACCTAAGAAGCATGGATATTTCCAAGAATGTAGCGTGAATCCAACCTAAATGAAGTTTTTTAATATCAGACTAAAATAGTTAAAAATTAAAAAACTAAAAAATTAACTTAGGCCAAGTTTGGCATCCTCCAAAAAATTCAAAAAGTCAAAAAGTCACTATCCTATTTAAGTCACATCATCTTATTTAAGTCACATCACCTCTCTAACACATCACTTCAAACCCAACCCAACCCAAATCCAACCCATATTTCATAAAAAGTCAAAAAGTACACTTATTTAGTCTTCCCAAACTTGGCCTAAATTTATATCTATTTTCCTCTAGACTTCAAAATAATTATATTTGACTTAAATATTCATATATATGACATATAATAATTACTTCTATCCCAAATTGTTTGTCTGGCATGGACAATAAGAACTTAAAATAATTTATTTTCGTACCAAAATTTTAAATTTTTTTCACCAATTAAAAGATCTCATTAAGTACTTTTAATTTGTGAAATTTTTTTTGAAAATTTTGGCACAAAAGTACACTATTTTCAGGTTCTTTGTTTTCCATGTCGGACAAACAATTTGGGACATAGGGAGTATTTATTCTTATATATGGCATATAAGAAATATATAAAATTACATATTTTGCACATGTCTTCAACGTGTCACGTCTTATATTTTTTAAAATTTTTAGTGTCGGCATGCTAGTTTTGTGTCCATGCTTTAAATTGAGCTACTGAAATATTGAAATTATGTCAATTGCGTCGTTTTCTTGAAGCATTTTATCTGATGCTTGTTATGATTGGGTAGGTAAAAGCTGTGGAACTGGATAACGTCTTAACAACAAGAGCCTACATGCTTCTCTATGCTAGGTAACAGATTTATTTGTTTCAGGTTGAGATTTCTGTATCTTACTAACTGGATGTCTAACTAATTATACTTTTATAGATGCTCTCCCCGGGCCCCAAGATTGATAAGGAATTCAATAATACCGCACGATCAAAGAAAACCAAAGAATCCTATAATTAAATCAAAATCACGCTCCACACATCCTTCGGATGCTTCTGGCACTGATCTTTTGAATGGACATACAAGTTTCCAGCCTATCCGAACGATTTTGGAAGAGGACTCTTGGAGTGACAATTCTTCCTTCTTCTCCGAGGGATGTTCATGCAGTTCCTGTAGTACTGAGAGCAGCAACAGGGATTCTACCAGTGCCGATGATTACGATCACTTTTTTGGTGATCCAGGTCGAAATTGGAATAGTCCGTGGAAGAACTCATCGGATTCCGACTCATCTACCTCTTCCTCCCCCTCACCCTTATACTCTAGGCATTCACCCCTTGCCGACTCTGATCGGTATTCATCAGAGACCAGCAGCTTTCAAATTCGAAACTCGGAATTAGATACGGACAACAACGGTTTCTGGGGCGGGAGCGGCAATTGGGAAGGTAAGTCTAGTTTTCCCATTTTGTATTCTGACTCAACTAAACAGTGTAGAAAGTCAGAAAGTAGTGGTAGTTGTAGGGAGACTGACTTGGACAGATTAGGATTGGCTAACCCTTTCGACAACAAGAAACCAGGTGTATTTAGAAGATCAATGAGGGAAAGAACAGATTAAGCGTTTTATTAAAATGTTTTTTAGTTAAGAGGGGAATAAGAGTCCGGGAGAGTAGGGGAGGGGGTTAGGGAGAGGCTGTATGTATTGTACTTTTGTTGTGGGCTTTTGCCTAAAGGAAGGCCACCATTTTGTCAACTCTCTTCCCCTTTATATAGAGCCTATATAAATATACAAAACATCTATTTCTAGAGTGTATAGTTGCCTGGGCCCTTCAATAAATGAGTACCGGATTTAACTTTCTTTGCTAAATATAAGTATTGGTCAGATAATGTTAGATTTATTGATGGAATGAGTTCGTCTTTCTATTATTTTCCGTCGTTTTCTTTGTGCATATGATATATACTTGTGAAGCCTTTGAATTATTATTGTGGACCAATTTGGTTACAATGGATGGAACTTAAACAGAGGTTAAATGTATTATTGTCCAATTGTTTTGAGTAGTTGGAGATAGGAGTGGGCAGCAACCTGGGTTCAGGCCGGGCCTAAGCTATAGAAAATAAAGAAATTTTGTGTTGGCTGAGTTGGGTTCGGATAGGGCCTAAGTTGGAAAAAAAAACAAAGAAATTATGGGAACGAATAATCGAGTTTTAGATAAATGGGAAATTTCAAATGTTATGGGATGGAAATGAAGGAATGTCTATAATACATGGGTTTAGTGAGAAGGGTTTTGTAGGTTCATTGATCAAGGCCTTGAGGGAAGAACTTTACAAGAATCCAAAATCTGAAGATGGAGGTGAATTCAATTATTTGTGAAAACATATCAATTAGTGGAATCCTTGATAAAAGTAAGAAAGCGTATGAATGAATCACTCACATGTTCATATGGGAAATGCAAGAATAAACAATTTATATGGTCAACATTTGTCTTAGTAATCAATCAAATATTGCAAAGCCTAGATACGTCGATGATGGTTATGAATATTGAGAATAAGAACTAATACAATCACAAACTAATAGAGATTATTCATATTAGAACAATCAGTCAAATATCTTCTGCTATGGGTTCAAATGGAAGAGCAATTTTATAGAATGTTTGTTATGTCGAAATTGTGTCTTTTCTAATGGACAAGGAAAAAACCAAAGAAAAAATAAAAAAATTAGATGCTCAAGTTTGGTTGAGTGAGCCCAAAATTGTGTTCAAGTTTTGTTCGGGTTACAATTCGATTCTAAGCCTTAAAATTTGAAGCTTGGCACTGCACTCATATATTCAGTACAAAATAAATATTTTTCAGATAGTTAAAAATTAATAAATTTGAGCTTAACACATATTTTGTTTGTTTTTTTGTCATTATATCCTAAGTTTAAAATTTAGTGGTCGAGAATTACTCTCAAGTTTGGCCCATTTAATAAATGGGTTTAAAAGTGTAATCGAAGTCAACTTTGTTGGTTTAAATAAACTCAACAATGCGGGTTGGGGTGGGCAGTTGTCAGCATTGCTGGCTCCAGAGAATTTTGTTAGATTGTTAGATTTTTTTTTTTTAATTAATAAAGGATAAATTATAAATATTATGAAAATTACATCAAATTGAATATTTAATTATGAAGAAAGTCCCACACATAATCACAAATATACAACAAACCCAACGAAGGCGAATAAACATTTTTACTACACCAGTTTTAGTTATCATCCAAACTTTATGGCCTTTCTCTCCCTAGATTATATATATATATATATATATATAATAAAATTAAAAAATCTAAGTAGTCACCTCTTTTATATTAATGTTTATGTACCTAAACTTGATAATTAACGTTGTTGATATAATCAAATATGTTCTTAACTGTAATTTGATTTTAACTTGAATATATTATCACATTGGCCTCGTATATGTATATATATATATATATAATAGAGGATATGTACAAACTGAACTATGAGACATTCTCAATCAATACAGAACTAGAAATTAAAAAATAAAAAATAAAAAAATTCATCATTTCAATCTCATATAAACGATAAAGCAAATAAGCAATTAGTAGGGTTATTTCCTTTTTACTGTAATTGTGTCTGTGTAAACCCATTGTTGATAAAAGAAAACATGTTTCTTTATATGTTTTTTGATTTTATTTTTTACTTTTTATGTCAATAGAAATTGATATTGCAGTTCATATTTTTCTTTAAAATTTTTTTTAGTATATACTATCACTTCTTCTAGACGTACTATAAAGACTTATAAAATTTGACAAAATTATTGGTAAATCAAATTTTTTCATTTGTTTAATTGATTTCAAATAAAGATTACAGGATGATCTAATCAAATATTATCACGTATTAAATTGATGTAGTAAGTTTTTGGTTAATCAAATTAAGCCACCGTAATGTAGTAAATAAGTCTTTGGTTAATCAAATTAAACTGTAATTGTGTCTGTGTAAACCCATTGTTGATAAAAGAAAACATGTTTCTTTATATGTTTTTTCATTTTATTTTTTACTTTTTATGTCAATAGAAATTGATATTGCAGTTCATATTTTTCTTTAAAATTTTTTTTAGTATATACTATCACTTCTTCTAGTCGTACTATAAAGACTTATAAAATTTGACAAAATTATTGGTAAATCAAATTTTTTCATTTGTTTAATTGATTTCAAATAAAGATTACATGATGATCTAATCAAATATTATCACGTATTAAATTGATGTAGTAAGTTTTTGGTTAATCAAATTAAGCCACCGTAATGTAGTAAATAAGCCTTTGGTTAATCAAATTAAGTCACTTTTCACTTTGAGGTGGTCAAGCCAATAAAATTATGACATACCATTAAAGTGATATTTTGATATTTATCTCTAAATAAATCAAAGATAATTATCAAAGAAATTGAAGTATATTAAGACTCTCCTCCATCCATGCCTATAAATAAGGGCGATCACCATATGCTTGAGGCACCTAATTAACCACCCCTAAAAACCACTCCTAATCATGCGTCTGACAAGTGTCAAATTTTGATTTATCAAACATTCTATCATGTAAGGTTGAACCTCAATGCCACATGTGATTTGTGGGTGGTAAATTAGAGGGATATAGCATTGTTGGTTTTACATACACAAAATCAAGATGTAGAGACAAAAATCTACATTAAGAAAGAGAAAGCTCAATCAAATTAAAGCCTCTAAAGCCTTGATGGTCTTTTCGTCAAGTCTGTATTGCGCTTAAAGCAAAGGTTGAAGAATCAAATCAAATTACTAGTAATGAAACTCCATCAATCTCTATCACGCTTAAAGTCTAGAGGTTCAAATCAAAGTTCATTGTCAAACCCTACAAATCTATGGTTGTCTTCTACTAAATTGGAGAGGATTCTACAAATCTAATTTAAGAATAAGCTGTCAAGCTCTCGAGTCAAAGTCCTACAAATTTATCATCTTCTTTGCATTGTTTGGAGGAGATTTTGCCATTCAATTCGGGAACAAGCTATTAAGCACGTTAATGATTTATTGAAAAAAACTAAAATACCCTTGTATAGAAGTAACTTTAAGTGTGTAAATTACGGATATTTGCCATTTGGTTGGGAGGCAAAATGTACTTTAATTTTATGTGCTTTATTCCATATATTTTTTGCCTCTTTCACATGTAAAAATGAGTATATAACCCACTTATGTCTAACATGTGTTTTATATTTGTTAAGTTGAACGGAATATTTAATGGTGCACTTTAGTCCACAAATTACAAGGAAGTTATGTGGTTATTTCCAATTGAGAGAGGGGTAATTCGCACATAAACAAAAACATAATGGGGTAAAGTGAAATTTGTCTCTTTTAAATAAATTTTTTTGACAATAGAGTGTTTGTAATTTTTCAAACTATAGAAATAATTCATATTTTGAGTAAACCTCATGAAGTGTGTTTGTAATTTATCTTTTTCAATTTTATTTTTAAAAGTAATACATGTCAGCCAAAATATATACTATTAGTAATATTGAAAATAATTCCAAGCATTAATACCCTCCATCCTTAGGGGAGCCGCCCGTATTACCAGTTAGTGTACTCTTTAACTTTAGATTTTCAAAAAAAATTAAAAATTAAAAATAATTTAGTGAAAACAATAAATAATAATAATTATTTTATATAGTTTTATCTTTAGAGAGAGTAGAAATAAATTTATTTTTTTTAAAATATTGTTTTCATATTTATTTTTATTAAATTAGTTTTTATTTTTTAAAAAAATTAAAAAATTCTAAAAATAGTTTCAGGAAATCAAACAAACATGGCTGATCATGTCGAAAAAATTACTTTTATCAATTAAGATTAGGAGAGATGGGGTTGCTTGTTATATTTTTGATGAGGTTTATTTCAGGTCCATTTAAATTATTTGAATTGTTCATTTTAGAGAAAATTTGTCTAAGTTTCCTCACCCATATTTAGTAATGCAAGAAATTCACAATATTATTTTATTCTATCTAAGGTTCTCAACCTCCATGCTCATATATACCACAGAGAAATTCCAAATCAATCCCACATCTCTCTCTCTCTCCCCGATCTCATCACTTCACCTCCACTGCAGCTGCCGCTTCACTGCCACCGCTGCCAACGCCTCTTCCTTCAGATCAACTTCGCAAATCGACGGATCTGCCGCCATCATCACCTGCACTCAATTTAGACACTTGGATCCTTTATATTTTACACTTGGATCTTTTATGTACTGATATCTCATTGAAATATCCTAGTGTGATATAATGTTTATGCCTGTCAGTTCTGATTGGTTGATTTCTATCCAGGCCACTGTAGGTCTGAGGCAATTCCAAGGCGATGCAGCTGATCTAATTTTGCAAGCAGTAATCTTAATTCTTTCTTCTCTTTATATTATTGTTATTGTTATTAAGTAGTTTATTCATACTTACATGGATTTAAATTTTTACATTTCAAAGGTCAAGGATTTTTTTGAAAGATAAGAGCACCTTGAAATCTAAGGCTGATTGGGTCACAGTATTGGATGGGGCTTAGGAAGGTGCTTATCAATGGGTATGTGTTTATGTGTTGGTAGATCAGGCCTCCTCTTTATTTGTGTTATTTATTTTTACTACTGGCTGTGTTATGTGGAACCTGATGTGCAAATGAAGATTTATTCTGAAAATTTCTCTGGATTTCATAAAATAATATTGTGTCTTACAATTTAGAGAAAATTGGTCAAAATGAACCCAGAGAAATTTGAATTTTCTCTGGCTTATAAATGAACCTAGAGAAATTTGAAAATCCAGAGAAAATTGGTCAAAATGAACCCAGAGAAATTTGAATTTTCTCTGTCTTATAAATGAACCTAGAGAAATTTGAAAATCCAGAGAAAATTGGTCAAAATGAACCCAGAGAAATTTCAATTTTCTCTAGGTTTGAGTGAATTTCCTCTTTGTATTATTGTTATTGTTATTAAGTAGTTTATTTATACTTATGTGGATTTAAATTTTTACATTCCAAAGGTCAGAGATTTTTTGAAGGATAAAGAGCACCTCGAAATCTAAGGCTGATTGGATCGTATTGGATGGGGCTCGGGAAGGTGCTTATCAGTGGGCATGTGTTTATGTGTTGGTAGATTAGGCTTCCTCTTTATTTGTGTTATTTATTTTCATTGCTGGCTGTGTTATGTGGAACCAGATGCGGAAATGAAGATGTATTAGGGGAATTTCTCTGGATTTTATAAAATAATATTGTGTCTTATAGTTTAGAGAAAATTGGTCAAAATGAACCCAGAGAAATTTGAATTTTCTCTGGGTTTGAGTGAATTTCTCTCGGTTGAAGTGAAAGTCCAGAGAAATTCTTGGTGAGATTTTCTCTGTGAAGTTGAATTTTCTCTAGATCAATTTGAGGAACCTTAGACATTATTAAAATATTGAATGTTCTTGATGCTATAAAATCTTAATAACAGAGACCTTAAAAAAAATCTCCTTCATTTTATAGGATACTAACAACAGCATGATTGAATTAAATTTGTTTTAAAAAAAATTATTTATATTTCAAGAAAAATTGTCTCTTGAATTATTTACATGACAAGTTAATTTAAAATAGAGAGCAAATTACATTTTGCATGTATGCTTATACTTTATATCCAATTTCATTTTCCTCTTTGATTTTTAATTTCTAGTCAAGTTAGAATTTAACCCATTCATAAGACTTTGTTTCATAAGCAAATGGAGAACAATTAAAATAGTTAATTTCTATTCGACACACTTTATTTTATATTTTTTAATATAAATTTAAAAAATTAATGAAAATAGTCAACTTTCAAACGTGCTCTTAATAGACTAAAACACTCTTTGATGTGTTAAAATAATACATTCTATTTTAACACATTATCTTATTTAAATCACATTACTTCTTTATCCTATAACGTCAAATTTAATTCATAATTTATATTTTTTTTTTATAAAAAACTAAAAAACATACTAATTTAGTACATATCAAACACCTTCTAAGAAGTGGAGGCTGGATGAGTGGTGAGGTTAAAGGGATGGAGGGAGGGAGACCAGTCCAAATCCAACCAACCAAACAAATTGAAAGGCTTTACCATTGTTGGCATTATTGCACTTGAAGGAGTCTTTGACTCTGACTAAAACGGGCAGACATTGACAATCCCAATCTCCACATTCATTCTCCATTTTCATCTCATTAGTTTGGAGTTTTCAAAATTATTTTAAATTCTTTTTAGTAAAAAATTTTAAAATTTTAATTATTTGTTAGATTTTACATACAAAAATCAAGATGTAGAGACAAAAATCTACATTAGTTTCCTTCGAATTTAAGCCTTTAAAGCTTTGAAAGTTTTTTCGTCAAAATTTATGTCACGCTTAAAACAAAGCTTGAAGAATCAAATAAAATTGTTGGTAATAAAACTCTACCAATCTCTATTGCGTTTAAAGTCTAGAGATTCAAATCAAAGTTTATTGTCAAACTTTACAAATCTATGGTTGTCTTCTACTAAATTGGAGAGAATTCTACAAATTTAATTTGAGAATAAGCTATCATGCTCTCGAGTCAAAGTCTTACAAATTTATCATCTTCTTTGCACTATTTAGAGGAGATTTCGCCATTCAATTCGGGAACAAGTTGTCAAGCACGTCAATGATTTATTGAAAAAAGCTAAAATACCACCATATATAAGTAACTTTAAGTGTGTGAATTACAAATATTTTGCCATTTGGTTGGGAGGCAAAATGTACTTTAATTTTCTGTGCTTTATTCCATATGTTTTTTGCCCCTTTGACATTTAAAACTGAGTATATAACCCACTTATATCTAACATGTGTTTTACATTTGTTAAGTTGGACAGAATATTTAAGGGTGCACTTTAGTTCACAAATTGCAAGAGAGTTATGTGGTTATTTCTAATTGAGAGAGGGGTAATCCACACATAAACAAAAACAGAATCGGGTAAAGGGAAATTTGTCACTTTTAAATAATTTTTTTTTGACAGTAGAGTGTTTATAATATTTCAAGCTATAGGAATAATTAATATTTAAAGTAAACCTCATCAAGTGTATTTGTAATTTATCTTTTTAAATTTTATTTTTAAAAGTAATAAATGTCACCAAAATATACACTATTAATAATATTGAAAATAAGTCCAAGTATTAATACCCTCCATCCTTAGGGGAGCCGCCCGTAATTACCATTTAGTGCCTACTCTTAACCTTACCGGTTCTGTGTAGTTTGATTTCTAAAATTTATTTATTTTTTTAAATTAAAAATTAAAAATTAAAAATAATTTAGTGAAAAAAGAAATAATAATAATTATTTTATATAGTTTTATCTTTAGAGAGAGTAGAAATAAATATAAAAATTTAAAAAATATTGTTTTGATATTTATTTTCATTAAATTAGTTTTTATTTTTTTTTAAAAAAATTTCTAAAAATAGTTTCAGGAAATCAAACAAACATGGCTGATCAAGTTGAAAATTACTTTTATCAATTAAGATTAGGAGAGATTGGGTGCTTGTTATATCTTTTGATAAGGTTTATTTCAAGTCTATTTAGATTATTTGAATGGTTTTTTTTAGTAGACTAAGACACTGTTTGATGCGTTACAATAATACATTCTATTTTAACATATTATTTTATTTAAGTCATATTACTTCTCTATTATATTATTTGAAATTTAATTTATATTTTATTTTTTTTAATAAAAAATTAAAAAATCTACTAATTTAGTACATATCAAACACCTTCTAAGAAGTGGAGGCTGGATGAGTGGTGAGGAAAAAGGGATGGAGGGAGGGAAACCAGTCCAAATCCAACCAACCAAACAAATTGAAAGGTTCTACCATTATTGGCATTATTGCACTTGCAGGAGCCTTTGACTCTGACTAAAAGGGGCAGACATTGACAATCCCAATCTCCGCATTCATTCTCCAGTTTCATCTCATTAGTTTGGAGTTTTCAAAATTATTTTTAAAATTTTTTAATTTTTTTAGTAAAAAATTTTAAAACTTTAATTATTTTTTATTTTATTTTTTAGATTCACGTTATTTAAGTGTACTTGTAAGAATCTTTCAAAAAATATATATTTATAAAGACCCAGTACATTTTCATATTTTTTTGTGTCAAATAATTTTAAAAAAAGATTTGTAAAAATTTTATACTTTTTAAGTGTATATAGATTAAATGGATCTAAAAATTAAAAAAAAATGATTAAAATATTAACAAAAATCACTAAAATCAAAAATAAAATACAAATTGAAAACTCAAAATATTTTTTTTGCAAATTCCAAACCAAACTTTCTATTTCTCTATCATCTTTTATTATAGTGAAAATTACAAAACAATAATAAGTAAGAAAAATACTTATTAAAAGATGAAGTGCAACTTTTGCTTTAGTTTTTTGGCAAAAAAAAATTGTATCCTCCATGTTTTTGTTACTATTTTTTTTTCTACGCTGATCTGTAATTTCCCGTTATTATATTGAGAGAGGGTTTGGGGTTAACTTTTTTTATTATTTATTACATTAGTGTTTTGGCATTTTTACGAGTTAAAAAAATTAATGTGTTTGAGAAGCTATTAAAAAGTATTCTTCTGTGAATGAAAAGAAAAATAATAATAACGTGACACTTAATTTTTTGTAACTAATAACAACTTTCAAAAAAAAAATTTGGGGCCAAAAAACTAATTTGTTTTTATTAAGTTTTGCCCTGGAAGATGTAGATAGAGGCTGAGATTGGATCAAGGAGAGAACAATAATTGGCAAGTTGGAAGCAACGTTGAAACAATTCGTCTTAAATTATTCGGTTAGTAGTTTTCGGGTCTTCCAAACTTGGCAATAAACTTATTTATATAGAATAGAAATTTGGTATTTTAAGTCGCAATCAACGGCTATCATTACAACAAAAGTAATTTATGGTGACGAAAAGTAGTGAAGAAAATAAATTTTGTTACTAAATAAGAATAATCCGTGACAAATTATAAAATTTTGTCACATATAATAAAAAAAATAATAGGTAACGAAATTTATTTTCGTCAACAAATACTTCTTTTAGGTGAGAAAAAATTAAGTTTCGTCACCTAAAGTTTTTCCGCTAATTCTTTTTTGGTGGTGTCAAAATTTTGAGACTTTTGGTGAGAAAAAAATTTGTCACCAATTATAAAATTATTAGTGACGAAAGAACTCGACCCCTAACTGGATCATACTCCACATTTAGGCCGGCCAAAAATTTAAAGACCCGTTCCCGTGCGATGAACTTTTTGTACCCGATAGAATCAGTAGGGCAAACGGGCTTATAGTCTTCCAGGTGGTCAAGGCGTTTCCAGCCGTTGGTGAGGAAAGTGAAGTACTGAAGAACAGTTTGCTCCCCCTGAAGTGAGCTCTCAATAGATCGGCGCAACTCAAATGCCTGTGAAAAATTTCCTTTGCGGGAATAGGTAACAGCCACAGCCTCCCAAACGTCCTGGGCAGTCTCCATAGATAAGTAGCCCTCACCAAGTTCTGGAACCATCGAATGGATAAGCCAACTCATAATTAAAGAGTTGGTAATCTCCCATTGGTCATAACCTGAGTCAGTGGTACTAGGTGCCTGTATCCTGCCATCAACATATCCCATCTTCCCTCTGCTCTTCAAAAACATAGTCAAGCTTTGAGACCATGCTAGGTAGTTTTGACCATTAAATAGAGAGGTGGTGATTTTCAGGCTAGGGTTGGGGTTCTCAGTCATGGTAGTAGGTAGAATGGGACTCTCACTCTTTGGTGTTTGAGAAGAAGGGGACACACTGGTGGAATCTGTCATGGATACAATACTACCGAACCCGCAACAAAACTAGTGATAATCACAAACCCGGAAGGTGGTAGTGAGATAACAGGCACAATGACTACTATAAAGACATAACAAAAAAATTAAGAAACCATTCTTTTTTTTGTTTTTTTTTTTTTTTTGTTTTTTGTTTTTTGTTTTTTGTTTTTTGGTGATTCAGTTTTCCTCTCATCCGTCTCTTGCAAAAAACACATTCCTTCAGCTTCCCCTTCTCCTCCTTCAGCTTGTTCTCCTCCTTCAGCGCCACTATCGACGTCACCTGCGTTCTCCTCCGAGCAATCGTCAACGCTGCGAGCGTCGCTTATTCGGTTATTTCTCTATTTTTCTCTTTTCAGGTGTGGGTCCTCTGTCTCTCTCTCACACTCAATTTCTCTGTTTTTCTATCTTTGTTTTCCCTAAATTTCAAAACTAATTTCGTTGTTTTTCCTAATTTCGAAAACTACTGAGACAC